TCGATCAGTTTTTTGCCAGCAAAGACCAAAAATTTTATGAGCGTGGAATTATGCTACTACCAGAAAGATGGCAAAAGGTGTTGGACCAGAACGGTCAATATATAATTTAATAAAGTATTTGTTTATTATACGAAAACTTTGTTTCATTTCCACAAAAAAAAACGAAATGACTTTCCGAACAACCCGATATGTGACGTCTCACAAATGTGACCAGCTGTGACAAGAACGGGGAATGGGTTAAAAAATCATGAAATTTATGGATGGTCCCTTAGGTGCGTAAAAGAAAATTTCAGAGAATGTTGATTAACATTTTTACTCAAATTCTGCTTGTCTGCATCTCTTTCTGTTGTATATCAATTGGTGTAATGTTATTCCTCTATGTTTATTAGTGTCCGCTGCAATTCCCATCTGACATCTCTTTTCTATGTTTACCTATTGCATATGTTTGCATTCTGCATTCTGTCAGCAACTAGTCTAGTCAGTAAATGTGACAGTTTATTGCGGACTATGCCAATTTTGAACTCAATATAATTTATCATCTTACTAAAAAGATCATGTTGAATTGTGAATAAACATGCATACAGATTGTTAATAACTTTTTTGTAATTTTCATGATTTATTTCACATTTTTTCTGAATGAGATCCGAAAGCAATATCATCATCGTCGTCGTCAGTCCTAATACTGGTTGGACACGCACCTCCACTCTTTCCCATCCTGAGCTAATCTACGCATTTCCCTAAAACTAGAATATATGGAAAACGTTTTCTTTAGGCTATCTACATTTTACGTGGTTGATATTTGAAGGTGTAGACTTATGATTAGTTATAAACTAATTCAACCATCAAAAGATGCATTTCGAACGTTCCTTTATTCATATCCCCTTAGATAATTTCAGTCATCTGTTTTTTTATCTATTTGGGATAAACTGTGAAGAAGTCTAGCATTTTACGTAGGTACTTACATAGGTTGAATCGGATTTCCACCTAAATTCTAGCTTTTTCGTTCTTTTACCGCAAATAAC